CCCCCCCTCCCCATCCTCCTCCTCCTCCTCCTCCTCTAACGCCTCCAACCTAACTATTACCTCAGACTACTCATTACATGGCTACTATTTCCTCCATTTCACCCCAAGAAAATTATCCTACCACCAAACTCTGTCTCATTCCTACAGTTATTCGTTAATACTTGTTATATTTACTTTGGCAATACGCTTCTAAAGATGGCAGAACCATCACTCTGGTCTGCTAATAGTCGTTTTTTATGTCTGAACAGGTATAAATTTACAAACAATTGTTACAAGACAACTTAGTTCGAATATCCTAGTTTTAACAAACAGATTTATCAGCTGATTAAATTAAATTGCATTCCATTAAGTAGGACCTCATTTTGCTTGAAAAGAAATGCATCTAAAAACGTGGAAAAATTAAAAAAAATTATCTAATAAAGTGTGGATGGATGCGCAAATTGAGGAGTAAAGAGCGTTTAAAAAACCTTTCTCCACCGGAGTTTTTATTCAGCATGTTCAAAAATTTCCAACATCAGCCCCACTATCCTGTGTGCGATAACTTTTGCACTCTTATTAAGTTTGCCGCTTACTTTACCTAAGCTCGCGTCTTCAGCACTTACCTTAATTGGAACTACTGTCTATATTAATTTTCTAATTTGATTAGGGCAAAATTAACTCTGTTGGGAATGTGTGCATTTCATCGATTATTCGGTATTATGCTATTATTTTGCGGAGAAAAGAAAATGGATGGGGGTGTGTGTTTTAAACCACTATCTCCCTCAAAAGCAATTATACGAATGAGTATTCAAAGGCTAGGATCGTGACCAATAAACTGTAAATCCCCGAAAGAGAAAGAAGTTGGGAAAGTATGGCGACTTCTGCAAAGAGAAACCAATATAAGTTAAACTTATGTGTAATATATAAGATTTACATGTGCATCAATATCTAAGTGCTCAGACGGAACTTGTTTGAATTCCATAGACGCACAGCAAACGCTTTCTTGCACGGTTGAAACAGACTTAGAGATCAGTCATAACTTTCAATGATCTCATTGGGCTACTTCCGTAGAAGCTACTGTCCGGATTGTTGTTTTTTTCATAAAAAATAGACAGAGTAGAGGCCATCTGAAAGCCCTTTTTTCTGAAAAAATCCCATACAACTACGTCTCCATTGGCCAGAGTTAAATATAATTTTATTTTATATCAAATGGCAGGCGTTTCGATAGTTACCATTAGCCCTTTAGCTGACTTTGGGTCTCATAGAGGGGAGGAACATCAAAGTGACAAAAAGTCGAGATGAGGGACAGAATAAGGATTAACAGATGTGAAAGAGTCAGACAGACACAAAGACTGAGAAAAGGTAAGATGAGTACTGTTGAGTGGTCGAATATGACCTGCAGTTGTGTTTGAAGTCAGAAGTCAACTGCCGGTCAATAGACTTTTTGCCGTATGAGTATATTTTGCCCATGGTGCACCACGTAGAGGTAAGTTTATCGCACACCCCGTATTAAAAATTATAGAATTTTCCCAGGTGAAAATGGGAATTACGACGATTTACTGAGTCGTCAATGCTAAGCATTAGGCAACATTATACAACATCTTACCTCATTTTCTTAAAGCGTCTTAATCAATTACATTGGGTAGAGGAACATCATGATGGAACATTTGTGGGGGAAACTCGAATTCACTCCCCCTCATTTCACTACCACACTTAACTACTTTAGTCGGCCATTCCTCCCGTTGGGTAGGTATCAGACCCGTGACCTCAAACTAAGCGCATAAGCACATTGAAAATTGTGTCACCAGCGTAGTATGAGGCCTAAAATTATTAACGGGACGGTCAAGACATATAAGTCGTGATCAACAGCTCTTTTTCTTCTATACGTGGATCCAATAAGGTTTCAAGAAGCACGAAACGTATTTTAAAAAAGGAGGCATTTGCACAAAAGAGATTTTAATTTCTATCAGACAAAGAGTTTGGTTTAAATAGGACAAATGAATTGGTTGGAATATTACTTCAATTGAAGGCTTAGATTGCCTGAGTAAAATTCAAATTTGCGATAAACAAAGTAAATGTTTAATCGGATAGAAATTAGTAATGTGGAACTAACCTCAGATTTTGAGAGCGGTCGGCCCAAATTATCGAATTCGTCATAGAATTCGTCAACCATACCATTCGACTGGTTATCGTCTTCGCCGACGAATGCTTCTAAGCACTGAAGTAAAAAAAGTTAATTAAGTAAACTTCTAAAGGAGCTAAATCTGATTAATATGCAACAATAAAGGCTAAAAGAGCAGGAATACGAAGTACGTTGAACTTTTCCATCTGAGGAGTGGTCAAAAGTTATTGAGGTTACCTCCAATGGCACACTCAATATCAAGTGTTCCCTTAAATGGATTATCGATTTTTGTTCATCACTTACGATGCACCTGAGTGAGGCACTAATTTACTGTATAATCGATTATTGGATTTTCATTTTAGCGCCTGGCTATTCGATCTTTCAACTGTTAAGAATGATATTAATCGATGACCAATCAATTCGTGTGTATGTTCTGCCTACATGAGCAAAACCATTTTCTTATAAAAGTAAGCTGATTCTATCACAGATCATCCCCTTATTCCCCTTGAATCTGTGAAGTTCCAACCAAGCTATAGCCCTGTGAATAACGTAGATTGCATAAGTGCCTACGTACAATCATATAAGTTGCGATCTAACTCAGTACTTAATTCGTATCTTTTAGATCTCCCATTGTTCTATCTATGCAATTTCTGTCTGCTATGTATTCAGCCATTTAGCTCATTGCCTTCGTCTCTTTCTGTAATGATTATTAAAAGACCCTGTAAAAATTAGCAAGTTTTTTCCATTCCACAATGACGACTACTAAGCTGTGGTTAAATTTCTACTTTCCGAAATCAAGATTAATAACTGCTTTAGGTTTGAATCCTAGCAAGCACATGACCAAAAGGAGGAGAAAAGGCGGAGTATGCACATGCTCAAGCAAACACTCCTCTTTAATAGTACCTTGGGTGACAACATAAGACTCCTTTGTGGACACCTAGCCGGGACGGTTGGAAATTCCACTAACTGGGTCCACCTCCAAAGCATACAAGCTCTCACTTCGTATCCGATTACATTGATCACAACATTATAGACACGAACATATACCAATTGTGATAAAATGTCTTAGAACAATATAATATTAACTGCCCATTTTATGGAAATTTCAAGTAATTTTCAAAACTCAAAGCATAATTCAGTGAGGCGTAAAGGAGAGGAATAAATATTAAAAATTTTAAGTTCTATGCATAATAAAAGCAAATGCATCCAGGCATAAACATATAAGACTTGGTTAAATGAAGGGAGGGGGGAAGTTAAGCAACTTAAAACGTTAATTCGTCGATATCGATATAAAATGTTGAAATGGAACTATTGTTAATCATTAGTTAGTTTATAGTCCAGTTAATTTTCCTAACGCTTAATCAATAGCAATTTTTAATTACGTGACACTCCAATTTCTGGTTAATTATATTCAACTGGCTTCTTCAGTCACTCTAACCAATTATTGAACCACTGAAAGCATTTATTGACTTATAAGCGTTGGTTCGCATGTAAGGTTTCCCACTTGTTATTTATTGATCCATAAGCTTTGAACCAACCACTTAGCATCCCTGTACGTGCCTATGCCATGTACCGCCACTAAAAAATAGCCCATACTATTTCATCCGCTTTATCACCAAACTTTAGCTCCTTCTAGAGAGGTAGCCTAGAGGTCAAGACTATGGCTGCAACAAGAAAGAACAGAGCGTCCGAAAAGAATGCAAGAAGACTGGGAATGCGAGTAAAACGGGGAAAAATTAGATGTGAATTAGGGGGGGGGGGGGTAAAATCGATAATCAATACGCAGTTGTGCTATAGTCCGAAATGAGATGGCTGCATTAAGTTAATTAAAGCAATTTCATCAAATCTATTTGCTTATAATAATAATTAAAACAGTCGGCTAATTAAGCAAACATTTAGGAAGAGTAAATTTACTTGGATATTTTTTATTAAATCACAAGAAAAACAGTTTTTTACCATAAAATATCAGTATCTTCTTATAGGGACAGAGCTGATAGGATGCGAATCAGAGCAAAGAAGGATACAATCTGAGGAGCTCTAACCACCTATAAGCCTGTAATCTTTAATCTTTTTCCCTCCAATGACTAATTAGTAGAATTGACCTGATTTCAACGTAGCAACGAAGATAGCAAAAAGACCACAGTGAAATGATGGAGGGAGGCAGGTAGGCAGGCGTAAGTAAAAAAATTACATTAAACATAAATAAGGTGAAAATAAATCAGCATTTCACTTTATTAACAACGTTTATTAGTTAGTCTGGAGAGATAATGCAGAAAACCTTTAAACTCCTAAGTCAAGCAAAAGGGTGCAAAATAAAACCGAAAATAACAGAACTTAAAAAAAGTTAGAACAAAAGAAGGAAAGAGGGAAAAAGGTGAAAGTGTGCAACTTGAAACAAAAACATTTCCAATCGGCAGAATATTTTTGGTGTTATTTTTACAAACGGGACCACATACAAAAGACGAAGATAAAGTGGAAAATAGGAAATTCATTTAAAACCCATCCTTTGGAAGCAATGTAGGCCATTTCCTAATGTTAAAGATCATATATTCCAAATTTCTGCTAACAGTAATATTTCATTAGTAATTTTGTGTTGAAATGCTTTAATTAGTAGTTGCCAATACAGTACATGAGTATTAGAGATGAAGAAAGGCATTGAGATGACATGATCGAACTCGGGTCTAAGTGCCCTGAGGAATAGGGCCAAAATGCAAGTCCTGGAATTTTGAATTGCGGAAAAGTTAAACGCAAAGAGCAAAATTATTCCAGAATTAGAAAAAAAATTAAAAACTGCTAGACGCTCTCGCCTTCTAAAAAGACTGCTTCACTTCTCGTTGTATTGCAACGACATGATATTATTATTATATCAAATAACAGACTCTATGACAGTTATCATTTACTCCTTAGTTGACATCTGGCTTCCCAGTATCTCTAGGTCAGATGAGTCTTCTCCATTGAATACTTTAGGTAGCATAGAGGACACTTTTGGTTGAGCACGTCATGATATAATAATAGCATTCCCTTCAGAAAACGGCCAACTAGAAATGAAAATAATGGACGTAATCTCACCCTTGAATCCGGGAGTGAAGTGATGAGGGCTCAACATTACAACATCGTGAAATGAACTCTACATTAAAAAATATTCAGGGTTAAATACCTTCGACTTCAAGTAAAGTAAGACTTTCGGTGAATACGAGCCTAATAAAAAAGCACATCTTCGTTCAAGGTACACAGTAGTCTATAATTGGTTAAATGGAAATACTCTTAATGGAAAAAAAAACGTTAAAAACAGACAATTCTACTAACTCACTTCATATTCAACAGTTATCTCAGAATCCAACGGTATTAATTTGACTGGACCTTCGCTGGAACTTGGCTTGAGAGTTTCAACCCGATGCGATGGGGACGATGATGATTCATCGGATTCACGTCGAAGAAGTGCAGAAGCCTCATTCAGGCACAGCTGACAACTGTTCAGGAGAAAACGCATTGATTCAAGATCTCCAGCAACAAGATCAGGAAGCGAGGCACCCTTCGATTCTGCAGCCACCTTTTCGCGTAGTTTATGAATTCTGATATGGGGATTTCATTAAAATAGTGAAAGAAAAGCATAGATTAAGTTCCAACCAACTGTCTATTGCGAAACTTCTGCTTAGAGCAATGCAATGTAACTGTGAAAATAAAACAATGGATTTAAATAGAAAGCATTCTGAAGCGACTTTCAGGAGAAATTCGCTTCCTACATATATTCAAGTTGATCAGAATTAACTAATGCAGTTGATCGGTGAGAAAAAAGTAATGATCGTTTCCAAATCACCCACCTATTCCAACCTTAAAGCAAAAAAAGGTTGGTGGTTCGGAAGCTCTTTGCATTTGGTGCGAATTATGCTTAATAGTCCTTTACGAACTACTGAAAAAAGTTGGGGAGTTACATCCTAAGTTTATTGCCAACATTTAGCCAGAAATAATCATAAATTTAAAGATAAATATCAAATCTATTTAGCTTTAATAGGGATTATTCTTCATATGGCAATGCCCAGCAGCGCAAAACAAGACTAGACCGAAAGAAAGCCTAAAAATAAATAGGAAACTTCTACCACAACTTCTACCTCCACCAAGCCACGCCCCCCCCCCCCAACTGATTAACACCTTTTTAGGCTTATAAAGCGTACTCTAAGAGGAAAACCATTTCAAATTACGACTTAAGTCGAAAAAAGAAAGCATTTTGCAAAAGGAAGGGGTCGAGGAACTAAAGGAGCAAAGAAAAATAGATGCAAATGACGGTAGAAGCAATATCATATGGTATCATACACATAATTTGAAGATAAATAACATTTTAATATGAGTTTTAAAGTGAGCGATTTCTAATTGGTCCCAAAAATAATATCGTAAATTCTTGAGCATAACATATTTAAATGCCTACTTAAATCATGTAGTAGTAGTAAAATATTTTTATACCGAATAGACCAAGCCAAAACATTGAGATGAAGGTTGGTAAGAGCAGATAGCATTTTAGTTACGTCCGAAGTTTCAGTCCACGAAGCAGATGATTCAGAAACAATTCCAGAAGATTCGTCTGATGAAATCTGACCTTTCAGTAGATTTGTTTGCATCATCTCAACAGATGCCATATTACGTTTCGCTCGAAAAATGCCCAATGACCACAGTCCTAGCAGTTGCATCATCTTAACTGAAAAATACAAGGGACGTTTACAAATTTTACCAAGTAATTGTTCAAGTCAATAAAATATATAAACGATCATGGAATTTCAACAAAATCTATATGATTGTTTTTTATGCAAAACTTACGACTAACTATAGTTGATTTACGGAAATGAGCAGTAAAGAAGTATCCCAATACTCTTGTCATTTCAGAATTCAGTTCGAAGGCAGCTTCAAGAAGAATCTAAGGAGATAAGATCGTTCATAAAAGCCACACTGGAATACCTTAGTGTTCCGAAGATTGTTTTCGCCACTTAAAGCTTCCGTTAGATCATTCTCAGCAGCATCACAGAAAATAGCTATTTCTGCTAATCGAGATGATAGGAAATCGCATGATCGAATAATTTTATTGGCTTTCTGGGAAGACGAAAGAAGTTCAGATGTATATATTTTGACAGCATCATATAATTTTGCTGTAAGCTTCGGAAGGACAGTTGCGCTGAGTTGTTTACGACCAATACAGCCTCTCCCGGCACTGAAACAAAAGCAACGCCTTAACTAAAGAGAAATAAGCAAAACATCAAACCTATTTGTCAAATACAAGAAACTTACAAGATGAAGCCCATCTCAACACCAGTTAATCCACGCAAGAACTTTACCGACTTTATCAAACTTGAGAAAAGAATTTCCATTTCGATAACAGAATATTTGACCAAAATAATATTGCTGATTGTGAAAAGAAAGTTGGAAATTAATAGGATAGACATGAAAATTCCTATCAATAAGGATAAACTGGTAAAATCTGCAAATAGTATTGCCAGGAGAAAAGGAATTGAGTATAAAACTGTGAAGTAGGAAATTTGGCAGAAACTACGGCCTTCAAGTTCCTTTCTATAATCCTGTAACTGCACTCGATCACAACTAAGAATGTAGCCAGATTTAATAAGCCTGTCGAGTAAATGCTTCCTGGGAAATAAATCCTAGGAGGAACGTTGAACAAACGAATCACAAACATACAATATAACAAAAAAACCACATGATATATTTGTAAACGCGAGCAGGAAAGGAAGGCTCTTTAGTAACTTTTTTCGGAGGTTCATCATCTGGGGAAATATCATATGGATCAAATTCATCAATATCGTCTAAATTAAGATCGCGAAGATATGCTCGCAAGGGGTGGTTCTAAGCTAAATTAAAGTTGTACTTGGCAACTTACCGGAGGAAAAACGCTTGTATCGTAATCCATTTAATTTTTTATACTAAATATAAAATATATCTATTAAAGTAAACCCCAACGGCGAATCAAAAGTTAAAATTAATGCAAAACACTTGTCGAGCTTTAGTATTCTTTTATTCAGGACAAATCTAAAGCAAATAAATAACAGTGGCGTTTAGAGCTTTGATTCATGAAAAGTAAGCGCCAAGCAGTCCCTTTCAATTATTGGTCAAATCTAATTGCAAGGTCAAATTTGTATTTAGCGTTTTTGTTACTTGACCCTAATATATATTCCTTGGGTCGTGTTAAATAATATGTGAAATATTGCAACATGTTAAGAAAACCTTAAATAAAGTGTTATTTCAATGAATAAACGTTATATCTGTAAGTTACACTTCCATATTACACCTAGACAACAGTTGCTCCAAACTGCATAAAAATACTATACTGGGTAAACAAGGTGTACAACGTAATGTTTAACAGAATAATTACCTTATCATAAAGAAGGCGTAGCACATTAGAATTTTGAATCAAAGGTTTTATGCATTAGCCAATAATTCGTTTCGCTAAAAATTTACTGAATATTAAAAGTGTTCCAGCAATGCATGGTTAGGATTCAGCAGCTTTCTTAGATCTTTTAGAAACGCCCTTGACCGTATTAAAAATATCATAACTAATTCGATTAATATAGTTTGTCGACCTTTTTCATATACTTGTCCTGGATGACGTGATATTCATGTATGAAATAGAGGCTGAATATAGATGGTTAGAGATTTTATTTGATTTGTGTATAATTTCTACGTTTTTTGCTATTCTTAAAGAGACAAATGGCTAGAGGAATCATAAACAAGTCAACAAGTTAATCAATTGACTAGTAGCCTTATGAACGTGAACTCATTCAGGAACCTGAATGTCAAATTCATGAGCTCAATCTCTGGTCATTGGTGACTGACGTGGCGACACATATCTTTTGAAAGTAGTAATCAAGTAGATGAAATGGGTGATCAAATGAAGCAAGTAGCTTGCGTCTTTTTTATTATATTTATTGCTAATCGCGTTACTTCCCCCTTCCATTTTACAATTTTAGGTTTTTTTCTAAGCGTTATGCGTAATAATTATTACAACCACACCTCCTTACCTCGAATCGGATTTCGTA